TGTTAATTTTTAGCAGCTCTATGTACATAAAATACATATAATACTTTGCATAACATGTATATTTAATATGATTATAAATTATATTTGAATTATTACAGACCTTAGAGCTGGAATAGTGAATAAAGCTAAAGGTTCAGGATATATCGAGGTCGGCGATACTAAAGTTATAGCATCAGTATTTGATCCAAGAGAAATACCACGAAAGAATGAATTTAGGTAAATGTAAAGATATTGATAATACATAATAATAGTTTTACAATAGTTGTGAAGTTATATTGATTTATAATAATTCTCAACTATTGCATTAAAATTGTTCAAAAAATATTTTATTAACAGGAATATTTTATTATTATGAATTAATAAGAATGATCTAATTCTACCTTTTTGTATAGTGTACGAGGGCAGTTATATTGTGAGTTCAAATATGGATCATTCTCTTGTATTCGAAGAAGACAACTTATGCCGGATGCAGAAGAGAAAGCGTTATCTTCTGCTCTTTGCAGAGCTCTTCAACCTGCAGTTTGCTTGCATGAATTCCCCAATTTTCAGGTAATTATAATATTACCTATAGTTAATTATATAATAATAATATTACCTATAATTAATTTAACTACTCTCATAGAACTATTTGTACAGTTTTGTATCAGAATCAAAATGTAATGTTGTTTTTGAGGTAAAATGTAAATCTTAACTATTTATTATATACAGGCATTGCATTTATTATGTACAGGCAAATATTCTAAATATCATGAAATTTGAGAATTTTATTGTTCTTCTTTTTATTTTTAAAAGTTGCAATTTAAATAATAGCCAATGGTCAATGATTTATACTTACTCTTGTTCATGACAAATATATTTGCCAATCACAGTTAACTTGTTAATAATTATTATTTATTTTGTGTTCTATTAAATATATCAATATAAAAATAATATCTCATATAAAATGAGTAAGATATAACTAAGAGCTAATAAATGATTGAGCAATATATGAAATGATTAAGCATTGAATGTTTTTAAACAAATTAAGAGCACTGTTTGTTTCATTTATTTGTTGCTCTCAATGTGAGTCTACTTTTATTTCTTGCTGTATTATTCGATTTTAAGAAATTGATATATTTTTATTTTTAAATGTCTATTTTTAGTCTCACTCAACATCTGAAACTGTAAAATTTGTAGACCATTTGCTACAATTATTCTAAAGACTTATATTTTTCAAAAATACTGGTCATACTTTATATATCATCTAAATTTGAGAGAAAAGTAAATAACTCGTAGCCATCAATGCTTTATTATTTCAATAAAATCAATTATTTGTCAAAATGTATATTTTTCTTGTCTTATTATAACTACAATTTATTTATTATTTCTAGGTTGATGTTTTTGTATTAGTATTAGAAAATGCAGGATCATGTCTTTCAGCAGCAATAACTTGTGCGGGCTTGGCCTTAGCCGATGCAGGTGTTCCTATGTATGATTTAGTTACTGCAGCAACTGTCGGGGTATCTGGGAATACAATAGTTGTTGATCCAACAGGTAAACTTAGAAAATATTTTGTACAAAGTTGTACAATTTATTATTATATTTATTCATTTCAGCCTAATGGCCTAGAAATACATCATTATCTTAAGTCACAATAATACCTTAAACCTAATTTATATACAAAAAATAAATTGAAAAGTCTAACAAAGTTGTACAATACTTATAATTACCAAATAGCTTCAAAATTTTTCTAAGCCATTAGTTTGAAAATGATGAAGTTAAATGCTATACATTATAGACCCTTCAATTAAATTAATTGTAAAAAAAAAATTGTATTTAATAATTAATACAATTTATATATTTTTTTATCTAATAGGTAATCTTGAAAAGTTTTTATGTAATAATTGCAATATTTTCAAACTAAATTTCTAATTTTATAATTAATTTCATTGAAAAATAAATTGCATAATATTAATAATTGGAAAAATATTGTGCTTATAGTCTTATAAAAATAAGTTCTTAAATTAAATTGAATTTGTATTTAATAAATTATTTATTTATTCGCTCATATGCAAGTCATAAACAATAATAATAAATATTATTTTAGCCTATTGTTAGTTGCATATTTTAATAAATATCCTTTATAATGTAAAATGTAATTCACAATAGATTACTAATCGATTATTACTACTACTATTATTACTTAATTCATTTGTGCAATTTTAAAGAGAGTAATGTTAACTTTTTTTTGGAAGATTTTATAACATTTAAATATAATGTTTGTAATCTTTGATATGAGAAATTCTGAGAAATTGTACTAATTCTTTAATAATAGCTTCTATTTTGTTTAAAAACATTCAATGTTTAATCATTTCATATATTGCTCAATCAGTTATTAGCTTTTAAATGAAATAATATTGATATTTTGATATAATATGTTATTAATGATTTAAACATTAAATAATGAGATATTTACTACTATCATAGTCCCTACTTTTGTTAATGCAATGAAATAATTAAACTCTTATTTATTATCATTATTATTATTAATACAGCTCATTTAAAGAGAAGTTTTACCAGAGAAGATCACTGAAAAATGTCATAAATTTTTTTTAAAAAATTAAAAAAATGTTGCAATTTTACCTCTGCATGTTTTGTACAAACCATGTAGACAGTTTATTATTTTAAATAATATTTATCAGATAATAATGATAGTTTTTTGACAATAATACGAATTTTTCAATATAATTACTACTCATGGTATATATTTCACAATCAGTGAAACCATACACTAATAGGCTGAAAAGTGTATGAAATATTTATTCAATATCCTTAAATATATTTTATGTTGAAACGCTATTACTTATTAAAAAAGTTACAAATATATGTGTCTATATTTCAGATTGGGAAGAAAACATATGCAGCGCAACAATAAAAGAAAAATCCGAAGAAAATACAGAGCACGGTGTAATAGTTCTGGCTATGCTTCCAGCAATGCAGCAAGTATCAGAATTGTATCATAACGGTTGTCTAGAATTTGAAACATTAGGAAAAGCCACAGATACTCTGGTTGAAGTAAACAAGACGATAGTGCCAATAGTTCAGCAAAGTTTAGTTAAAGAAGTGACAAAATTATTAGAAGATAAAGCTAAACTGGAAGTGAAGTAGTAATTGTAATTTATATTAAATTAATATTTTTCACGAATATATATTTTTGAAAGTACAAATTAAACTATTACTTATCGGTTTTCTCATATGCATTTTATTGAGTAATTGTCAAAAAAAATCTTTATCAAATTTTGATACTACATATTAATTATCTATGGAATTTATTGGTTTGCTCAATAGTTGAATACATTGAGTATATTTTAAAGAGTATACTTCATTTTGTATATGAAGGGAACACTAGTAAAGTGAAGCATATTAACCTTATTAAGTAAAGATTGCACACAAAAATTTAGCTTAATATTAGTGTTTTAATGCAATATAACATACTTGTAAATTTAATCTCAATTTATGATTGAGTTATAATATCTGAATAACTATATTTATGAGGCTGTGCAGAAAGTAATGCTATTTTTCTTACAGCATAGAATTCATTTGTATTTTTATAGGATTTAATCCTATAATTATTACATGATTTGAAAGCTTACATGTTAAGATTTGTGTGTGATTATAATCAATTATTTACAGTAGTTTTTAGATGGTGTTGCTTTAAATATGGAAATACTGAGCAGCATTTTTTGATATATTTTATTGTTTTACCACAGAAAAGGTAAAAATGATGTTGAAGTTAGACAGTGTAAGAACTAGTTTATTAAATTTTGATCCAGAAATGTTGATATCAAAGATATACCATGTTCAGGAAGATTATAAAGTTCTGAGCAAGGTATTAGTTTATGCAGACCAGCAAAAAACATGAGATCATATTGAGTTTAAATTTATTAAATTCATCAGTTCATGACAACTTGAAAGATATGGAATTTTTCTCTAAACACAATGCAGAAGTTTTCCAGTTTTTCATAGAGAGACCCCTGTGTCCTTGTATTGAAGTCTGCAATTTGCTTGTGAAACATCATAAAAATGAAATTTTGAAGCAAATTATCATTAGGAACGATAAATAGTTTGTTTATAACACATCATAGGCAACTGCTTATGAAATAAGGTTAATAGAAGAACCTTATGAAAACAGTTTCAAAGCCGATATTCTATTCAGAAAAAGGTGATGCTATATGTTTGGTGAGATTTTAAATAAATTGTTTGGTTTTCATCTTTTTTCAGATTTCATAATAATTAATTCGGATGCCTATTGTCATCTGCTGCATAAACTAAATAATGCATTTCAACAAAAAAGGCCAGAAGTAATAAATAGGCAAGGTGTATTGCATCAAGATAAAGCATGAGCTCACATAAGTTTGATGAATTACGAAAAGGTTTTTCAACTTGAACCCCGGACACAATGCTGCAACCACCATGTTCTACAGAATTGGCATCATTGAATTATTATTACCTGTTCTGCAAAATCTACACTTTAAATAATAAGGTAAAAAGCAACATGATCAGTTTTATGCAAATAATGATTAAACCACAGAATTGTATTACTACCAGGAATATGACAAAAGATGCTTGACCAAAATGGGAAATATATAATTTAATCAAGTATTTGTTTATTTTAAGAAAAGACTATAAGAAACTAAATTACTTTCTGGACAACCCAATAGATACATGTAAATCCTTGGAATTCACATATGCGTATTATGGTACATAAAAACCTAGGTGTTGCTTTTACACATGTTTCAAATGTAAAAGAATACCCTAAAAATTTTGCAAACCCTATGTAAATTTTTCTTTATACTTTCAATTTGTTCTCTGAATCTTGTTAATAGACCAATCTACTAATCAAATCCAATGAGTTAAATGCTGCATTTATCTAAATAAACTAATGTTACACGACAAGCTTAAATATAATTTTTGTATATAATTCCTAAGTTTTTTTTTTTTCATCTGAATGAATGAAAGACTTATATTTCCTTATTACCTATATATTTGTTTGATATAAAATAGTTTTACAAAGTAGATCCATGAACCAAATTTATGTCTATTCATCTGGTTTTTCAGGTGGAGGTCCACAAGGCTGTAGCATCTTTTCCATCAAGTTGAACTTTATTCTAGCCTTAGATTCATTTTCGGCAATAGCAAAATAATTAAGCAAGTCTTGATGTCCTAAATAACTGGCGCAGGAGTCTCTGTGTTGATTTGTTAACCATTCATATTTGCTAGTGTCCGCATGGCCTGTTCCTATGTATTTACTCTGCAAATGTTCCAGCTGACTGTGGATATTGTATCGGTCGCCCATTATAAAGAATTTTGTAAATAAAAAGTATACTTCAGTTTTGGCTATGAGAATGAATTGGTTAAAGTTTGTTTGCGAATGCTTTGCAACGCGAAGATAGACACAAAGAGAAATGTCAAATAAACAGTGACACCAACTCTAGAATCATAATGATGCGAAATAGAAAAACAGCTGATGATCACTTCTGAAATACTGGAAATGTATTTTTGTATTTTATTATGTTTTAGTAAGGATTTTAAAAAAATATTTTTTTGGTAAGTATTTGACTAGGTGTAGGTATCATTTTGCTTTAAAGGCAAGTTGCATTTACTTTTTCGTGATACATGTAAATAGTCGACTTAATCAAGAATTATCGAGATTTATCTATTTATATAAAATTTATTGTTTATTTAGAAATAGAGTTTTCGTTTTTATTAAATATTAATAAATGCAGGTTCCAATTAATATCTTTCAGATAAAATCATAATATCTGTAATTCTTGTAATTATAGTGCAAAAAACACGTGCTTGTATATGTCTTAAAGGCGCAACCATTTCTCCTAACTTTAATAAATATTTATAATTAATCCACACTTTTTTCGACCATTATATTTCAGATATTCCTTCAGACTATAAACTTTATGGTCAAGTTAAGTTTTGTTAACTTTCCGTCGGGTAAGTTATTGTAATCGTCCAAAAATCGAAATTGAATGTTTTACATTTCTTCACGTTTTGAAGGTTTCTGAACATTTTGGCATACCTCAAAAAAAATGGATGTGTGTGTATGTATGTATGTATGAATATATTTTTTCGTCCACGTTTTCAGGCACACGGATCAACCGATTTGAATAGTTCAAAAAACATTCGATTCCTATTGATAGGGAAATGTGCTGAAGAGTTTTTGGCAAAGGCAGGTTCAGCCGTTACAAAGATACAAAGCAAAAAGTTCAGAAAATGCAAATCAAGTTTATGAGAGTACGGAGTATACGATTTGAATGATCTAAAAAACATTCAATTTGTAATGATTGGAAGAAGACATGATTAGTTTTTGACAAAGGCAGGTCTAGCCATTTCAAAGATACAGAGCAAAATGTTAAAAAAATGGCAATTTTTCGGAGAACTAAACGTTTGACTTGAATGATTCAAAAAACTTTCTGCTTGTTTTAACAAAGTAATTGCTTTTGGAAAAAAAATTGAATTAAAAATTTTTTTTTTGTATATCGAAAATATTTAAGATTTTAATTTTAAATATGACTAAAGTTGTAATATTCTTTAAACAAATAATTTCAACTTTGCTATTCAGTTTATATAACTCTTATAAATATCAGGCAATGTTAGAGTATTTATAATAATCTATATGAAAACATTTAATATTCCTCGAACATTTCGTTACGGTACGGGAAGTTCCAGCAATTTGCCCTAAGGCACGATGCCATACACAACTAGTTTTATTTCATTTTATTGCGAAGAAACAGGCTGGCGTGTCTTCGCCGAAACTATTATAACTATAGCTCGATTTACAACTGTTGGCATATCTTAAAAAAAATTGATGTATGTGTTGGTATAAGTTGGTAAAAATTTTAGTTGGTATTATATTTTTATGCAGGCGGTACTGAGTTCGACTTACCCAGAAAAAAGACCCAGTCTGAAACAAAACAAAAATCAACGCACAACTTTATACATATACTTTTTAACTTCCCGTAGGGCAAAAAAAATCGAAAATGAAAATTTTTATATATCTTTACGTTTCAAAGGTTTTTGAACAATTTGGCATACCTTAGAAAAAATTGATGTGTGTGTGTTCCGATACAAATTTTCGTCAACGATTTCGGGAACACCGATCTACCGATTTGAATAATTCAAATTGGTTTCGTATTAATAAGAAGACGTGCTGAATAGTTTTTTGCAAAGGCAGGCCTAGCCGTTCCGTAGATACGAGACAAAAAGTGCCAAAAACGGTAACTCAGTTTTTAAGAGAACAGAGCGTCCGATATCAATAAATGGAAAAACATTTTACTTGTATTGACTGGATGAATAAATTTTTGAACTAGATAAAAGCAGGTCCAGCGGTATGAATTCGCAAAAATAAGTTAAAAAAATGTCATTTGGCGGTCAAAAATGTTTATTGGACATATGTAATAACGCAAATCAAATTATCAGTTATTTTATAGAGATTTTAATAATCTGTACTCATTTTGTGTAAGTTTTTTTAGGTTACGTACCAAGATTTTTATTACGGTACGGGAAGTTCCAGAAATTTGCCTTAGGGCACGATGCCATGCACCCCACTAGTTTTTATGTAATCCAGAATAATTTAAAATGACAAAAAACAAAACATGAAAAAGTCGAATATCTTAAAGAAAACAAACTACTAAAAGATAAATAATGGTTAAATATTATATTCTGAAGCATGTACTAAAATTTCGACTAGCTCTCCACTTAGTGAAATATGAATTATTGAAACGTATTTCTTGTCATTCTGGACTTTATGTCCATATGTAGATATGACAATAAACTTACTTATAAGGTAATATTCATTATTGAATAAATAAAATCATTCATCGAATAAATTTAATTAATCATTTCGAAACAAAAAATGATTTCTCGGTCTCGGCCATAAGTGGTGCCAACCTGACGGTCCTCCTCTCCGTTTCGGCAGCTGTCAAGTTCGCCTAGTCGCTGTTTAGCTATCACCCATATAAACTAAAATCTGCCAAGTGCGTGTCTTGTGTATTTTTATCATGAAATGTGATTAAGAAAGTTACACATCTGTGTCTGTACGATGTTATTCAAATTAATTAACGGTAAGTCGACATTATTTCATTTTTTACTCGCAGATCGTCGTGTCATTTGTCATTTTAAATATGTTTTATCGATTTCCATCGGGATATATGTTTTATTGTACCACAAGATATTTCACACCCATTTCTTTGGAGGATGGAGCATAATTTAATTTAGTGTTGTTAATTGGTTTAATTTAAGTTAATTAGCTTATAAGTAATATTAGCTTATTTTGATGAGCGTATGAAAATTCGAAGCGTATGAGATCATTAGAAAGTTTATGTCCGCCTATGCAGATTTATTTTATAAATAAACAAACTGTCACGGATTTAATCTAATTTAATTAACCATAAATATAAACATATATAAAAGTTTAAATCTTTTCGTGAACAAAAATCTTGAAAATTATAATTGCATAATTTATAATGTATGCGATTTCTTTTACCCAAATAAAGATCATAGAAGTAGGGTACCGCGTGGGTTTGCACTTTTTATATAAAATTACATCTGCGTTATTACACAATTTTGATTTTTTAATATAATATGTAACTCTTTAGTGAAATTATGAAACAATGCCAAATTATTCATTTTGTTTATGAAGATACTCTCTAAAATTGATATAATATGAGTGTACATAATTTAAAATACTTGATATACATTATTACCCTATTTAACGCGGGGGTTACGTTCTATCAGAGTAGGGCGTAAAGTGAAACAGCGCTAAACGGGGCAGTCTAAGCATTTAAATAATAAAGGAAGATGCATAGAAAAATAGTCGTGTACTAATTCTGAAAACTGTGTTTATTTTCATTAAAACATTAATAACCTAGTTGAAAGTGGCATTTAGCCTTAAGGCAAGTTGCATGAACTTGTAAACTCTTGAAATGTGTATTGACTTAATCAATCGAAAATGAAATTTAGATATTTAGATAAAATTTTTAACTGTTTATTTCAAAAATAAAGTTTAAATTTAACTTTAAATTAAATCTAAATATAGCGATTTCAAATAGAATTTTCTCGAACACATTCAAATTAACTGTAATTATATTAATTATATTGTACCGACACGTGCTTGTATGCCATAAAATTGTAGTTTATTATTTTAAATTTAAACGAATTGAAATGTTTGACTCATCACACCACAAAAGCAACTTTTGACACAAATTTTGACTATAGTATTTTCTCAAACTTTGATGAATTTTTAACATTAAACTATTTTTTGTACGGCCGTAATATTTAAGTTTTATAAGACCATCTATGGCAAAAAAAAAACGTTCATAAAAATCAAAATTTTTTTTCAACAGTTGACTTCAAGAAAACGACTCGGTAGATTTTTACCTAAAACTAATCAGTATTATTCCCAACCAATATCTTTTGAACAGTTTTTTTTTAAAACGATTCAGAATTGAGAGCTAAAACGTGGACGATTTTCTTTCACTCTTCTGCTTTTTATAAAGAAACGGCTCAGCCGATCGTCGCACGAAACTGAGAAAAGACTAGCTGTAAGTGGAATTCTGTCTTAAGGCAATTAAGGCATCGTGCCTTAAGGCAAATTGCTGGAACTTCCCGTGCCAAAAATTATTATTTTTTTAAAAACGATTAACATTTTTGAAAAAATTTCACTTCAAAAAAATAAGATTTTTTAGAAATTTTAAATCGGACAAAAAATTACTTTTTTTTGAAAAAAAAACATTTTTTTTAAAAAAATTTTAAATAATTTTTTTTATAAAAATTTTTTTTTGGAAAAAATGTTATCTTCATTTTGATATATTTTGGAAGATCTGAACTTTTTTTCAAAGCAATCGTACTGCTTTAACTGCATAGATACGAAATATAGAAGCGCGTAAGCGCCGCGTCGCTGTCTAACGGAAAAACAATAGTACGGAACCCATAGGAATGTAAACAAAACTTATACTTATTGTTAAAATATCTGATAATTTGATATGCATATGTCTAATGTCTAATGATTATTGTTGACCGCCAAATGTTATTTTTTTTAGTTTTTTTTACTAGATCTCCGAAACCGCTAGTCCTATCTTCATGAAAATTTGATCAAATCTTCATCTTGTTAACAGAAGTAAAATGTTTTTTGAACTATACAAATCGGACGCTCCGTTCTCTTAAAAACTGAGTTACCGTTTTTAGCCCTTTTTGCCCCATATCTTCGGAACGGCTAGAATGTTTTTTGAATTATTCAAATTGCTTCATCCGTGTTCCCGAAATCGTCGACGAAAATTTGTATCCGAACACACACACATGCACGCACACACACACACATACATCAATTTTCTCCAAGGTATGCCAACATATTCAGAAACCTCT